TATTTAATAAATCATCATTTATATCTTTAGTAGAATTTGTTGTATTTGGTTTCCAATGATTTTTAAATAATTGTCCAATACCTTCTAATATATTATTTCTTTTTCTTTGATTCATTGATAAATCATCTTTATTAATTGATTCATAATTTATTGTTGCTGTAGATGGATCACAAGTTATTTCAAGTGTAAATGATGTTGATTGAGCATCATCAGAATTTTGTATTAATTCTCGATAAACAACAAATTCAGATGAATAACGTGCTAACATTTTATCAATTAACATACGTTGATTAACTTCGACACGATTTTCTTTACCTTCATTAATAATTTTTAACCATAATTCATCAGATGATAATGATGTTTTAAGATTTTGTTCATTCATTGTCTTTTTCTTTTATTTGAAATATCTAAAATAATTCAAATATATTCTATTTTATAAATATTATCTTAATTATTTCAAAATAAAATCGTAAATGAGAAATTTTTAAGTTTCGTAAAAAGTTTACTTCTAGATTATTCTAGTTAAATTTTAAATAATTATTATTAATGATTTGTATTAGTTATTTAAATTTTTTTACAACGTCATTCCAATGTAATCTATTACTTGCATCTACCAATTGTTTGCGTAAATCTGAAAATAAATGCATTTTTCATATGTAACCATCTGATATAACAACTCATAATATATGAGTCATCACAAACAAAATAGATGAGAAAGCGAACGATGTCATCAAAACGACAGCACGAGAAAAAACCGAGGAAAGAAAAGAAAAATGGAGAATGTTAAAGACATCAGTGTAATATTTATGACTCATGCACAAAAAGAAATGACAAAGCTTATAACGATTGTCATACAAAAAAGATGACAAGCAGCGACATGTTGTATATAGAATTGACATGCGCTCTTCTAACTTCGTTCATTTATTTAAAAAAAAAACAAGCGAACACATTTTAATGTATTTGGAATATTTTAATTTGATAAAAAATCTCTACAGATGACGATTTATAATAATTTAAAATTTGTTTCTTTTTTTAAAGTTTATCCTTATAGTTTCTTCTAAACAATTATTCCATTGATATTAGAGAGTTTTAACTTGAAAAATAAAATAGATTTTTTTATATTACATCAAAATACATATGATCCTCTTTAGATTATTGATAAACTTTTTGTTAAGCATTCATAAATTCAACTGATAACATTTTTTATTTTTGCATAAATCATCGATTTGTAGCTACATTATTTTGAGAAATGGACATTTATTAAAAAGAAGTTTGTTATTCTCAATTAAGAGGCAAGCTCGTTTGTTTTTATTATACTGTTTCATAAATGTACTCTGCAGTTTTCGAATCTTTTTGAATATATGTCGTCAAAAAGCATAAATAAAATCATTAGCGAATTTAAAGTAGAATCACAAGTATTTTGACAAAAAAAAATACAATTAAATTGTTATCATTGTGAGCATTGGTTTAATGGAAAAAATAGTCAGTTGATCTTTTTGAATTACTTGATTAGATCACAACAAGATACAATACATTAAAATGACACCATTTGAGTCTTTGTACATGTGTGTGTGTGTGTATCAAGGTTTTTCAGCATAGGACAATAGATATCATTTTGAAAAAAAAAAGCCATGGACAATTGCTCCATTGGTGTAACTCTGATTATGTTATTGTTCAATATAATCAATGAAAATAAGAGAAGCCTCTTATAATGAAAATCAAATGTGAAATCTAACTACTGAACGTTGATCATCATAAATTATATATAGAAAATAGAAAGGTCACATTTTATTCTCAATATAATTTAAATAAAACACAAAAAAAAGTTTCTACTGTCTAAATTCCAATGAATCTTTGATAGAGACAATTTTTTTATTAATGTCAATTTAGATTCATCAATCAATGATAAGATGAATGCTTTCTTCAACTTGTTTTGAAAATTTTTAATGGGATTGTAATAAAATAAAAATTCATGAGTATTTCTCATTTGAACATTCTGTAATATAGATTTATTTAATTATTTCATTTAAACAAGGTCAAGTTTCATATTAATTCATCTTAATCTAGTCAACCATATTTTTTTTGACATAGTAAAATTTAGTTTTCTAATTAACGAAACAAAAAAAAAAATTTACAAAGAGTAAATTTTATTTTTCAAAATGAAACATGTTTATCGTTGATGTTGCTTCATATGTATAGTTCACGCTTGTTGAGAATTTGTTTGACTTCACGTATTCGTCTTGTAAATCTAACAGCAACATAAACAAAAGATCAAATATAATTTGTTTGTTCTACATCTTTATGTACACAATTATTCTCTTGACAGTTTTGTTAAAATTCTATAAGCAGCTCCAAGTTGAAAATTTGGATATGAAATTTAGAAAACCGATCAGATGCTCGTCGTCTCATCAGCCACTTGCTTGAATAAGATTATGTGTATTAGCATTAATATGACAAAGTAAATTGAATACTCATGCAACTTTCTCGTTTGCTTCTTGTTTCATATGTCTTGCTACTTTGCTAGATACATATACAATGTCAACATAACACGTTGATGTAAGCAATAATAAAGGTGCGATGGATTACGAACAACACATACTCTTTGCGATTGTTATATTCGAGCATAAAAAAAGAAACATACAAAAATTCTTCTGATTAATAGTAATGTCACATTGTATCATCGACTCAAACATATGATAAAATGTCACCCACACCCTCATGGAGCGAGAAATCTATTATACAATGGTTCAATGAGTATAATATAATTACTTTTGAAAAAGTTGCTACAGTTCGATTACTTGAGATTGCTTTGCATAACCTACTCGAAAAACAATGTAATCTTGATATTTTGCTGTCAATCGTTAATCTCAATAACTAGTTTTAGTCTCACAATTAGCATTTATAGTTTGCTGATCAAATATCGCTTAATATATACCCATTAGAATTTACAACAGCAGTCTTAAAGCATAATGTGCCAGAGAACATTGTTAAGTTGCGCTTTAGCAACATCTGACAATTAGCAAAGACGTGCATTTTAAATTTCATAGTAACCACAGCTATTGTCTATCCTAATCATGTGTATCGTAATGAGGAAATATTCAAGAAATCTGATAAGCTTATGAAACAATTCGAAAAAGAGCTTTTAGATGATGCCAATGATGAAAAAAATGGTCAGTTGTACATGCTGAAAAGGTAGTCACCGTATAAAGTGTATTGTATCACCTTAATTTGCGAATATAACAGTCGATTTGGAATGTAATGCAAGTACCAGAAGTTTTATGTGGCAAAGAAAGATTTCGTTCTATTCGGAATGGTTGAGAATCTAGTTATCTATTGATAGATATAACTATGATTACTAACACTTGAAAAAAAAACTTGTAGAGCGTTGTTTTGAGTATTTATGACAGTCAGTATTGGGCATATAGCTTTTCAACAAAATAAAATAAAAATTCTGAATTTATGTAGAATTATAAATCTTGAGTAGATGCGTCTGGTGCAGTTCTTATAATTGAAATTCGATATATTTTTCAAAGCACTTTAAGTGTTCTTTTGAATTTCGCTTCTTATTCATCAAACTTGTGTACGTTAGAGTTAATAACCATTACATAGTTTTCATTTCAATTTTGTTAAACATTGACACTTTTACTTGAGGTTGTGGACTTTGGGTGTGAGTGCGTGAGAGTGTTGGCCTAGGCATGAGTGTGACTATGCAGTCGATTAAAGAGAACACTCAATTCCCATACTCACATCTGCATCCCTACAATAAATTGAAATCAGTTGTTTTTATCTCATTTTAATTTTTGAATAAAAATATACAAAAAATAAATAAAAAATACATATGAGGAGGATTTTAAATATGCAGTAAATTAAGGGTAAAATTTTAAACGAAAAAAAAAGTATGCTTTGACAATATCCTTATGATTATTTTGCGCATATTGAGATGCACATTTTTATGTATTAGTATTGTATAACTGTGCTAAGGAGGAATGAAAGAATAAGCAAAAACAAAAACAATATTTTCAACAGAACAAATACTATGCGTTGGATGATTTTCTTTATTTTTCGCGGTACGCTTGGATGCGCGTGGCAATACGTATTTTTCAACTTAAACATAAGTAGCATTATACTTTGGTTTGAAACATAGAACAACGCCAACACATAACAGTGGTATTATTGTAGGTCACCAGCAAAGTCCTTGACGAATTCAACGAGTAAATGTATGTATTTGCCTAACTGTAGTCTGTTTAGATGGTTTTTTGTTACTAGTATGGAGTGGATTTCTCTGTCGGCAAGTAGTGCAACTAACAATGCATAGTGTTATTTTTCTACCAAGGCAGTTAACTTCCTTTTGCTTAATTTGAGTTTAGAGGAATGAAGCTGTCGGATTCAAGTAGGAGTGCGTAGGTAGTGAAGAAAAGCTTTAGAGTTATTTACCGATATTTTAATGTATATAAGCTCATTTTTTCAGATGCGGACTGGATGGTATAGGAGTTTTGAGATTTATTCACTTATATGTATATATAAAGCACCAGAAAAACAAAATTAAAGCAGAACTTCATTTATATATGTACATGATTAGGTAGAGTGCAACGGGCTGATCAAAAATATGTATATTTTCTTTTGGAATTAGTTTTTAGGGTAAAAATTTCGGCTTTTGCCAATGAGCTATTTGTTATGAAAAAGGTCAATTAATGGTAAATAGAAAAATGTCGATTGTTTTTCTTTCCTTTAAATTTTAAAACTGGTTGTTTCAGGTTTACCGTGAAAAACTGAATCTATGCAAGTCATTTAAGTTCTATCAAGGCATAATATCATAATTACAATTCTCGATAGAAATTTCTTAGAATTTTTAGAGCTTTTCATCGTGCATCGTTTTTTTTAAATCAACATTGTTTTTCTTTCGTTTGTCTGTTCAAAGATATTCAACTATGTTAAAAAGTTGGTGGCATACTTCTTATAAATATAAAATAATAATGTCCCTATGTTTATTTATATCTTTAATGTCAATAGTGTATTTTAAGAATATTTCAATTGTGAACAAAGCAAATCAAACACAAGCAAATGCATTTATAATAGCAATGGATTGTAATTCAGCTCGTTTTAATTTTACTAAAAAAAATATTGAACGAGTATTTCCAAATTTTTTTCATATTCATTGTTTTAAGGTAATGCAATTCAATGATTCTCGTATTAATCCATCATTACCAGCATTAGACAAGAGATTAGCTACAAGTCTTATAACATTTGTTTATTTATGGACATATGAACTTATAAAATATTCAAAAAATAATGAACTTGAATGGTCATTTATATTCGAAGATGATGTTGATTTTATTGAACCATCAAAAGTTTCATTATCAAATTATATAAATGCAGTACAAGTATTAATGAATCATTCAGAAATTCGACTTAAACATGGAATGTTCTATTTGGGTATGTGTGGACGGACAGACATCAAAGACAATACTTCATTAATAATACCATTTTCTAATAATACACTAATAAGTCAGCAAGGATGTGGTTATTGTACTCATGCAATGGGATTAACAACAAAACGTGCAAGAGAATTATGGGTCGATATTTCTTTACATATTCCTATTCAAAGTGGACCTCCGGATGTCTATCTTTATACTCATTGTTTGCATAGTGAAAAAATTTATACTTTAGGTTCAACTTTAAACTGGCCACCTGGAACAAACCACTATGGAATAGCATTTCAAGATAGACAACGTTTTCATAGTCAACTTCGGCCGTAGAGTTAAATGTTTTTTTTTTGTATATCATCCTTTATTCATCAATAAACTAATTTAAAGTGTAATAAATAAAACGTGATGTTTTTCACACAAATTAACGATTGCTTTCGAAAACCTTCAGCAAGACAGTTTGAGAGTGTGAATGTAGGATATGAAGTATGGGTTCTGATTGGATTTACTCATATCCATACTCTTATAGTAGATTTCATCTGGAAGTTTTACTTTGTAGGAGTAATCAAGGACTTTACATGTATGAGTAAAAAGTTGGAAATGTCCTCTATTATCATTATGAAAGCCAGCTCATTCCATAGAACCATAGAGAAGATGTTATACTATCTATTTGATATTTTCGACTATATATTGAATAAATATATAGTTATATACAATGTGAACATATATTCGCTTGACGAACGTTGTCTAAATGAGAATCACTGAAAACTGAGCATTTAATAAAATTAATATTTCCTTCGAATAAAACTTCATTTATATCTATAAATGAATGAAATTGAATGGGTCAGAGTACGACTTGGATCAGACTACGACAAAGGCACTCGAACTCGGATCGGATTAGGACTCTAAAAATTTTGCTTACACAAAAGGATTTTGCGATATTTTTTCATTGTACAGTTCTACCAAAACGTCTAAAAAACATGGTAGAACAAAAAGTATGCATCGCGTACTATTTGATTATACTTTATTACTTTTCTTTATTGATATGAGATAATAGCGCATAGCTGATGCGCTGTCTACCGCATGGTGGTTTAGCGGTCTGAGAATGTGTACATGAGAGGAGGAAGACAAATAAGTAACAAAATTATATCCTACAATCGTGTGTGAACTGTACAAAAGTGGTGAAGATAAAGTTGAGGATATGTCCCTTGTTTTCAAGTACCAAATCAAAGGAAGAAAAAGAAGGATTCAGAAATTAACTTCTTCAGACGAAAGAGAGAGTTGAATAACATAAACAACGAACGCTGAAATCAGATATTAATTGATTTATGTAAAAATTGAGCAAGTTCGAATTAAATATCAAAAATTTCTTCGTTTAAAAGAGCGACGCCAGAATTTTATTGTTTGAAATTCACTGGATTTATTCAAATCATCGACTTTATCTGAACTCATCTATTATTAGAATATAATACATTTTAACTGCACCAAAACAGAATTATAATGCGAAAAAGTCAGTTATCATTATCATCAGTGGATCTTCCGCTCTAAATGTTGTCCTTATGCTCACCCTTAGATAGGTGTCCTTCATCCGCCTATAACTGAGATCATGAAAACTGACCCCATGTCGAACACTGATGCACCATAAAACATCATTTATGATTGAAGTAAACGTCTACTGTAGATGGTTGTCATCTACCACTATAACTGATGTGTGTACGGTGATGTTGTTAGTTTTTAGGCAGACACTCAATAAAACCAGTTGTGTTTTTCTTAATCTATGTTGCATTTTGAAGAAAGTATCTGTATGATGATCATACCTTCTTATATAGTAAATTCGTCCAAAGATCTTTACTGTACTTGACTTGAATATAGACTAATTGTAATAAGAATGTTACAGCATATGTTGAATGAATTGAATTGACTCTTTCTGACTGATTGGTCATTTAAATCTCCTATTATTTTATAAATGGAAATTAAATATTTTAATCTATATAGAGTTGACAGAAATATGAAAAAATCGTGAACTGTAAAATGAGATGTCATATACATTTGAATAATAGTCAGTTCAAATTACCTGAGAGTTTATCGGACTTAAAAAAAGCAGCAGATGTCAGTGTAGAATTAAAACGATACTGATTATTAAACTCCTCATGAGTTCGATACTATTCATTTCACAAGAATGGACGGCTCTTATTTAGTAGCACAGCTTGAAAATTTAATTATTATTAACTCATTATTGATATTTATACTAAAAAATACCTAATAAAATATTTATATCAGAGTTTCAATTAGGTATAGAACTAAAATTTCTTGGCATAAACCAGTCACTTATAATGAAGAGTGTTTCGATTCATGGATTTCAGATAAAAAAATTTGCTTTGTCTAGAAGATTTTCGATCGTAATCTCAAACACAAGATGAACATATCCATTAAGACTTACAAAAGACATATATTTTATTTGACAAAAATCCATTTATATTGCAGATAACATTCATTGTATCCGTTTGAAATACAACAACAATGTTTTATCTTTGTTACC